GAAGGGGTGGTCAGGGGTGGTAAAGAGGGGGTAAAAAGGGGGTAGGGAGTGGTCGGGGGGAAGGGTGGAAGTGGCAGAGGGGGCTGCGCAAGCAGCAAAGCGAGCGTAAGCGAGCATTTGATGCTTGTTTGTATGAAAGAAAGTAAAAAATTTATACATATTTACAGGTATTTCTTTGACTATAAGAACTGTATGAGTCTGTAGCTACATTCATACAGAAGAAAGCAGAACATTTAAAGAATTACATATTTATAATAAGTATAAATTGTAAACAAAGAAGAACTGACTTCTTGAAAAAAAGATAGATTATATCACACTTCTATATAAAAGAATGTTTTGTTATATTACTGCTGCAGCAATTGCAGCAATTGAAGCTGTAATTATCTGCTCCATAAGTGATGATTATTTATACAGGTCATTGCAGCTTTCTATACAGGCTGTTGCAGCTTCCTCTACACAGAGTCACATGAAGTGTGCATTTTTTCAACTTATCATATCACAGAATGAGGCCTGCAAGATCGCATCTTCTATTCTAATCAGGTTTTGAAGGCATATAACATATTGCTTCGCTTCGCTCTACAAATGAGTTTTACGCTTAATGTAATTACGTTGTCTTTAAGCACAAGTGACTGTGAATGTTCAAAGCTAAAATGCATTGAAATACAAGAGTAAATAACCCATCTTGTGTAAATAATTCAAGTAAACACTAGTAGCCCACGGTCCACCAAGGATTGGCATTCCCTCCGAATATCTGAACAATATTCAACAGTCAAAGAAGCTGACCGTGGCTGATCCTTTTCAAAGCACAGGGAATTTGCCTCTTCAGACAGATTTTTAAGACGAGCGAACTCCCCTTTCCAGCTCCTCTCAATGATTGTATCAAAGTGACTATCACTTAATGGGGGAAACATCATATGTTTGAAAAGAGTAACCTTCTCTGCGTCATCGTCGAAGTGGTCCATTTCATAAGGTTCATGTCCTCGGGTTAGGCAGTAAAGAATAGATCCGATGGCAAACTGTTCCGTTCGAGGGCCGCAGGTGCCGAAAGAGCCCTCTTCGCTCCCATATTCAGCACCCAGCACTCGTGCCCAGGGAGCAGCAGCACCACCTTCTAATGAGGTTCCAATGAGTTGTACACAGTCAAAGTCTGCCAGCTTCAGGTGGTCCTGGTTGTCAAGTAGCAAATTTGGAGGCCGGATGTCGCCATGCACATATCCAAGAGACTCCAACCAAGCCGCTGCTTTGCAAAGCTCCATCAACCATTGTTTGACCAGATAGTGAGGTTCGGTTGAGACTACTTGTTCGACCCTTCTCCCATCGGCGGACCTTCTCTGGTGGGTTTCCAGCCGGTGGTGGAGGGAGCCACCGCCCATAAAGGCCAGAAAGATGCCATCCGAAACACGTAGAAACGACTGGACGATATGGGGACACGGCTCATGTTTCTCAAGGATATCGAAGAATGCCATTTCCCTGTTAAACCCATCGCTGTTTGGGCGAACGGGATATTTCAAAACAATGCGACAGTCGATCCTGTAGACCCAGCCTACAGCACCGCCACACAATAGCTCGTAGTAGGTGAGCCGCGGAGGTATTTTGATAATTTTCGTGGAGGTTGGGAAAGGTTGATGTGCATCACGCGTGTCTCCAAGACCTAACCACTGTAGTAGCCTTTTGGCATTGAGAATCTGAAACAACATAACTGCCATGTCAAATAAGAATGCAATCATAGTTGACTTTTCCTTAGTGATTGAGAGGATATATCTATTGTAGTAAGGTTTATAGAAGACTGATGAAGAGATAGAGAAAGAAATAAGAGTACGGAGAGCGCTATCAAAAGAATTGCGTCGGCAAAAAGACAGCTAAACAGTGCCACAAATCTTGGCAGAAATTCACACTGTCGGATTCCCTCTACGGGCCGACCGCTTCCGCCTAAGCGAGGTGTTCGCGAATCGCTTGGCGAACGCCTACCACACATAAAAGGCCGCACAATAGCTAGATCTCAATAATCAACCAACTACTACTAGTTACATTAAACCAACTACTCTATTATATCACCTTTATCAGGTTATGTTTCTTCTTACGCATAAGAATCCGCTAATTCTTTAAAAATCAAATTCTTATGCTTCATGCTTAAATTGAAGATTTATTAAGTAAAGTCTGAAATACTGTATTAGTGATTCTACAGCTGCTCATCATAATTTATTCATTAAATTGAAAAGAACTGTTAATTTCAAAATTAATTAATCTGCTACAAACTTTTATAATTAGTCTGTAAGTAATCTCTGTATTCTTATATAAATAAAAATGTAGATAGTAAATATATCTCTATAAGTAGACTAGTTACTGAGATTATAAATTTTATATTTAATTTTATTTAATCTGATCTTATACATTTCTTGATATGAATTCTACTAAGACTAGTTATTTAGAAAATTTACAAAGTGACTATATATCAAATCTCAAAATAAAATCATGACTTGAAAAAAATGAGAAAGTGATTTTATTTAATTTCATTTAGTCTCATTCTTAGTATAAAGTTACTATTTTTAGACATTTTTGAGTTTTTTTTAGACTATTTTTAAATTTTTAAAAAGTAATACTTTTTAATAACACTTAAATAAGATTTAAAGTCATTTAAAGTAATAAAAATAATTTAAATTAAGAAGTGAAAATCATGATCTCATTTAAAAAATGTAATAACATTAGATAGTATGTCTTATTAAACAGTATTAAACTACTATCTATATTAAAACTATGTAATAAAATCAGTTAAAT